AGATGTGTCACCTCAGGATTGGAGCACATAAAATGTTGTTTGCACACGGACATTCAGGTGGTGGTGGGGAAATCAAGAAATTTGAACTGAGAGGGGGCTCAGGCTGAAGGTGCAGGCTCTGGCATGGGGCTGGGGATGAGGGGTTTGAGTACAGTCATCCCCAGGAGAGAGGGCTCTCCCCAGTCCTCCAGATCCACAGCAACTTTGGCCTTGGTGCAAGGTGCCTCTCTGCAGGCTGAGGCAGCTCCAGTGAGGCTGGGTTGGACTGGGGGAGGGGCACCGCTCTACAATTTATGGCAGGTCCATATCATTTTTGCAGGACTGAAGGGGACTTTACAGATCCAGGGGACCCAGAGAGGAGGCTGCAGTAGAAAGGTGGAAGATAACCCAAGCCATAGCGAGGGCAAAGAAGAAAACCTAGATTTTGGGGTCAGAAGCAGCATTCAGATTTGGATTCCTCGTGGGGTAGGGGAGGGGGTGGAAGGAGCTGAAGAGGCCCCTCTGCAGTGAGGCCACCTGGAAGAAGATGGCAGTGTTAACAGAGGTAAGAAAGAGGTGAGTGGCAGGGAAAAAGAGGGCCAAGACAGGGCCTACTTCTGTTTCTAGCAGGGATGTGGCTGCCATTGGGGGGCAACTGGTGAGGGAGTATTTGGGAGGCCACCCACCCCCAGCCTGGGGAAGGGCAGGGACAAATCTTGTCTACCCCAGGCTCCCTTCCCTCCCCTGATCTCACCCTTGCTCCATCAGCATCCCACCTCTTCCCCACACTTGCTCTGCAGATGCCCCTCCCCATTGAGGCAGACCAGGGGCAGTAAATAATACCAGAGATTGCCTATCTCCTAGAGCTGGAAGGGACTTTGAAAGGTCACTGAGTCCAGTCCCCTACCTTCACAGCAGGACCAAGTACCATCACCAGCAAATTTTTGCCCCAAAGCCCTAAATGGCTTCTGCAAGGATTGAACTCACAGCCCCGGGTTTAGCAGGCTAATGCTCAAACCACTGAGCTATCCCCCCAGTAGTACAGCTAGGGGGCTGGAGAGGGCAGCAGTGGTCTGTCCCCCTACACTTACTGGCAGCGACGGGGGAGGGGGGGGAGCAGAACAACATGGCCCCAGCTCACTCTGCTCCTCCCACCACTGAGTACGGGGCAGTCCCGCCCCTCCCCTGAGCAATGTGCTGGGAGAGCAGAGTGAGCTGGGGCTGCATTGCCCTGCTTCCCCCACTGCTGCCTGTGAGTGGGGGTGGAACAGGCCCCTGCTGCGAGCTCCAGGCCCACTCACTAATCCCGCTCCCCTCCCCCAGTTGCTGTCTAGACCCTTGCCCCTCCCACCACAGGGGTGTGTGACCCCCTGTGCCCCCCCATATCGCCTCTGCTGCCCGTCACCTGTTTATGCTCCAAGGTGAAGTGGAAAGGTCTGGAGAGGTTTCTGCGTTCCCCAACGGTCCCACTCACTACTTTGGAATTCAGGGTAACCTCTCCCAGTCTCTCAGCACCTATCGGTTTGGAATTCAGGGTAACGTCTCCCAGTCCCTCAGGACCTGTCAGGCTTTGATTGCTGACACTGTCCTTTAGGAGGGACTCCAGCTTGTCGTACACTATGAAGACGACGGCTCCAGTGCCTGCAGGAGCAAAGGAACAAGAGGTGATTTCTGAACAGCCTGGCTACATCTACACTGTCAGGTGTTTGCTGAACAGCCTGGCTACATCTACACTGTCAGGAGTTTGCAGAAGAGGAAATGCAAATTAAGCACTGTTTAGCAATTCTCATGCTCTCATTTGCATATTCTCTTCCCATCCTTTTTGTGAAAATGCAGTGTAGACACGGCCATTTTGTGCAAAAAAACCCCAAGCCCTTTTGTGCAAGTGCCTGTAAACCTGATTTTTTGGGGAATAATGGTTCTTGCACAAAAGGGTTTTTTTGCACAAAATGGCCCCGTCTACACTGCATTTTTTTCCATAAAAACATCTTTGGCAAAAAGGATTGGAAGAGAATATGCCAATGAACGCATGAGAAATGCTAATGAGCATTTTTTGGAATTCCTTATCTGCAAAAACCTGACAGTGGAGACATAGCGCCTGTGCCCTAGGCCCTTTGCACCGCAAAGAGCTGGAAGACTTGTCTGATGGGCACAGCCAAGAGCAGAAGGATGCAGGTTCGGGGGGATGGAACGCCTTCCCTAAGGGTGCACAGAGCATCACTGGCAAAACTGGGACTAGACTCCCAGGCTGCCCTGCACTAGCCAACCAGACGCACTTCCTCCTAGGAGCCTGGCCAACCAGGACTCAGCACTCCGGCTCTGCTTCCTTTAGTCCCAGAAAATCCATCCCCATCCTGGTCTGTGGGAACTCTCCGGCCCTGACGTGCCCTCTGCATGGGGGAAGCCACAAGGGCTGTGCTTAATTTGCGCCAGGGAAGCCTGCCAGCAGTTGCCCAGGGCCGGGCAATTCAGAATGTGGTGGTGGAGCGGTGGAGGCAGGACCCCTGGACTATTTAAATCGCCGCCATCATGCTGTGCAGTGCACTCCGGGCGGTTCTGAGGGCTGCTGGGACAGGAGGGGGTGCTGCTGCGCTCCAGGCAACACTGAGGGCTGGCTGCCTCCTGCCCCACTCCTTCCTCCGAAGGCCTTGCTCTTCCCAGGGGCTTGGAGCTGGGCCCTCTTCCATCTTGCCCAGGGGCAGGCAAGTCTGTCAGCCCCCTTGGTCCCAGCACCTCTGGGCCTGCTGCACCAGTTATATAAATGAGCCCCAGGACTTATATTACACATTAAGCCCTGCACAAGGGGCTGGTGTAAAGCCGCCCAAAGCAGGCCCGTGTGCAGGAATTTCTGTGGGTGCGCGTGTGTTTTTTGTAAAATGTGGACCCCACCATCTATGGTCCCAGATGACTGGGGAAGCTGGGCTTGATTTCCCACCCCCATCTTCACTCCTCAGGGAGAGTGGGAAAAACAGCCCCAGCCTTCCCTTGGCTGGCTGAAGCATTTTCCAGGGGAGGGGAGGGCAGCAAGAGCCAGGACTATGAACAACTCCTGCCTTCTCCTGCATATGGGCCTGCAAGGTCCCCTGGGGAGTCTGTCGGGGCTGCTTTAAGGTCCCTCTGCAGCCCTGGAAGATCTGGCCTCCCAGCTGGCTCTGAGGACGCTGCTGGATTGCTCTGATCTCATCTCTTGCCCGTCCAGAAGACTTCTAGTTGGTACCTGAGCTATCGGAGCCGACGACCGTGGTGCAGTCAATGGCCATCGATTCGTTTTTTGCATTCAGTGAGATACTCTCCCCTTGACTGCTGCAGTTATCCTTAATGGCCTTGGCTGCGATGGCTGGGACAGAAGGACAAGTTCTTCACCAAGATGCTTTGAAAACAACCCCCCTTTAGCGTGGAGCCAAATCTCCTCCAAGGAGACACGCCACGGACATCAGGAGAGCGACGCTGCAGTGAAGGCAGCAGAGGCAAGAACAGAAGCAGGAGCCTGGACTATTCTTACTTTTGTGCAGCACAATGAACCGCGGCTCACAGCCACTGCTCCAATCCTACTCCTCGCTGAGCTCAGAGCTTCCTTGTGCTGGGCACCAGAGGCACATGCAGCAAGAGACTGCACCTGCCCCTAGCAGCACAAAGGGTTCATGCCCCCATTTCACAGACAGGAAAACATAAGCTTCAAGCGAGCAGGAACGGCACAGCACCTGGATCCCTTATGCTTTAACCCAGCGCTCTAGAACCCTGCACCGCAGAGACTAGCTAGGGTGCTACTCAGAGCTGTGTAGGGGGTGAGGGTTCCTTTTTCTTACTCATGTTCTCAGTTTTGATGGGCTCTGACTGGTTCGTGGGACTTGCCAGAGCAGCTTCAAAGGCGACCGATTCCACGCTCTTCAGAATGACTTTGGCAGCCAAGGCCTTCTCCTTGGGTGGCAACTCGGTAATGCTACCAACAAATGAATTGAAAGAGGCAGTGGCTTCCTGGGATGCAAAAAGAAGACATCCTGTGTCAAACAGCAGCCTCCTGGCTAACAGAGAGATGGTCCCATGGATCCATAACAAGACAGGAGAAAGGTAAGAATGGCCAGACTGGGTTAGATGAAAACTCCATCTTGACCTGTATCCTGTGTTCTGAAGGGCCAATGCCAGGCCATCCCCAGCTTCTGACAGAGAGAGGCTAGGGGCACCACTCCTGCCCATCCTGGCTACTAGCCATTGACAGACCCGTCCTCCACAAATCTATCTAGCTCTTTTTCGAACTCTGTTATAGTCTCAGTCTTCACAACATCCTCTGGCAAGAAGTTCCACAGATTGACACTCCGCTGTGTGAAGAAAAACTTCCATTTGTTTGTTTTAAATTTATTATTTATTCATTTCATTTGGTGACCCCTAGTTCTTGGGAACCTCCCTACTCACAGAACATCCCAGGGCAGGTACAACTGCGTACATGGATGGGTGATGGTAGGCAGGTCCCAGGGCCCTCCAAGCACTTATTATCTGGCTCTGCACTCCACATAGCTCCCACGCTGCCCACCCAGGTACCAGACACTGCCTCGTTCCCTTCACCCCAAGACATTCACCACCCACACTTGGCTGGCAGCTGAAATCCCACTCGCTGTTGGCTTCAGTCAACTCCTCTATAGCAAAGGCAGCTAAGCCTTGTTTTTGGTGACATGTTCATCTTCACAAGGAAGAGTCTGGAGACTGGTCCAAGCAGATGGGCATAAAGGGGGGTTCCTTTCCTCGGTGGGGGGAAGGCAGGGAATGGCAAATGCAGGCACAGAGCCTCTGACCTGAAGTGATACTGGGTTGCTTCCATTTCCAAATGCAGAAGACTGTGTCTTTAAGATACCTTCTATTAAGGTGCAAAATGGGTTGCTTTTCTGGTTTCCCTGCAGGTGAATCATGGAAAAAGGAGTGAGTTCCATAACATATTTACCGACCTGCTGTACTGGGGGGGAGGGAAGAAGAATGACAGGTGGCCACGTCCAGGAAGAGGACATGGTAGAGTCCCAGCGGTGCTGAGGGCTGGCTGGGGGGAGAGAGGACATGGTAGAGTCCCAGCGGTGCTGAGGGCTGGCTGGGGGGAGAGAGGACATGGTAGAGTCCCAGCGGTGCTGAGGGCTGGCTGGGGGGAGAGAGGACATGGTAGAGTCCCAGCGGTGCTGAGGGCTGGCTGGGGGGAGAGAGGACATGGTAGAGTCCCAGCGGTGCTGAGGGCTGGCTGGGGGGAGAGAGGACATGGTAGAGTCCCAGCGGTGCTGAGGGCTGGCTGGGGGGAGAGAGGACATGGTAGAGTCCCAGCGGTGCTGAGGGCTGGCTGGGGGGAGAGAGGACATGGTAGAGTCCCAGCGGTGCTGAGGGCTGGCTGGGGGGAGAGAGGACATGGTAGAGTCCCAGCGGTGCTGAGGGCTGGCTGGGGGGAGAGAGGACATGGTAGAGTCCCAGCGGTGCTGAGGGCTGGCTGGGGGGAGAGAGGACATGGTAGAGTCCCAGCGGTGCTGAGGGCTGGCTGGGGGGAGAGAGGACATGGTAGAGTCCCAGCGGTGCTGAGGGCTGGCTGGGGGGAGAGAGGACATGGTAGAGTCCCAGCGGTGCTGAGGGCTGGCTGGGGGGAGAGAGGACATGGTAGAGTCCCAGCGGTGCTGAGGGCTGGCTGGGGGGAGAGAGGACATGGTAGAGTCCCAGCGGTGCTGAGGGCTGGCTGGGGGGAGAGAGGACATGGTAGAGTCCCAGCGGTGCTGAGGGCTGGCTGGGGGGAGAGAGGACATGGTAGAGTCCCAGCGGTGCTGAGGGCTGGCTGGGGGGAGAGAGGACATGGTAGAGTCCCAGCGGTGCTGAGGGCTGGCTGGGGGGAGAGAGGACATGGTAGAGTCCCAGCGGTGCTGAGGGCTGGCTGGGGGGAGAGAGGACATGGTAGAGTCCCAGCGGTGCTGAGGGCTGGCTGGGGGGAGAGAGGACATGGTAGAGTCCCAGCGGTGCTGAGGGCTGGCTGGGGGGAGAGAGGACATGGTAGAGTCCCAGCGGTGCTGAGGGCTGGCTGGGGGGAGAGAGGACATGGTAGAGTCCCAGCGGTGCTGAGGGCTGGCTGGGGGGAGAGAGGACATGGTAGAGTCCCAGCGGTGCTGAGGGCTGGCTGGGGGGAGAGAGGACATGGTAGAGTCCCAGCGGTGCTGAGGGCTGGCTGGGGGGAGAGAGGACATGGTAGAGTCCCAGCGGTGCTGAGGGCTGTCTGTCTCAGGCTTGCTCCTTCTGCCTAAAGCCCTGCCCGCGGTGGCTGCAGCTGGAGCCCTAAGCCTTTAAATTTCTGCCAGAGGAGCACATGGCATGCTCTGGGACGCTCTGAGGCCTTTCTGGGGGGAGAGAGGACAGCGGTGCTGTGGGTTGGCTGCCTTAGCCTCTCCCCTTCCGCCTGAAGCCCTGCCCCTTCCAGGAGCACAGAGATGGGCTTCCCTCCCTGAAGCTCTGCAATTCTCTCTGCCTCCTTGGATAAACTTTAACACCAACTTCTCCATCTCCACCCACTCTTTTTTCTCCACCCTTCTCTGGGTACCGGATCTAGTCCATCCTCTCCATCTCTGTCCATCCACACTGCCCAAACCAGGCGCAGCACACACACTGCCTTAGTGCATTGCACTAACTCCATGCATGCCCATGCTGCCCATCCATTCCCTCCCTTTTTCCCTCCTACCACAGTCTGGAATCACTCGACACGTACGTTCTGGCTGGTGTTGCACCGGCTTTCTAAATTGACTCCTGTCAGACTCTTGAATTGGTCACTGACATTTTCTAGGGAAGGAAGCAGAAAGCCAGTGTTGGGGTCTCTCTTACAAGAATCAAATCTTTACAATAGGATCAAAGTATCATTACACTTCCAGGCACAGAAATGAAACCAGGCAGACTCCAAAATCTTTACAATAGGATCAAAGTATCATTACACTTCCAGGCACAGAAATGAAACCAGGCAGACTCCAACCAATGGCAGAGCTCATGCTAATGGCTAACAAAATTGGTTTATGGGGTCCAAGAAGGGTAAAAAAGCAGGATGGGGGGTGGAGCCTGACCTTATCCTTGAAGAACACTGGATGGGGGGATCCATGGTGAGTGCCCTGAGTTCAGATACCTGCCTGGCAAATGTGAGCGCTATCAGAAGGGACACCTTATAGGACAAGTATTTCCCCCCTCCCCGGGGTGGAAGGCCGAAATAGCTGCTAAATGGACCTTAATGGAAGACAAAGAGAGTCCCTGGAGCCTCAGGTCCAACAGGTAATCCAAGATCAGGGGCATTGGTGCTTCCCTGGGGGACACCCCCCATGGAAACATAGAACGAGGTGTACCGGTAGTTCGGAATAGGAAGCCTAGTCCGAACTACCTAGTTCGAGCCCCGTGTAGCCGCACTGCACGGGGTTCGAAGCAGTGGGGATTTAAAAATGGCAACTCCCCGCGTATGCAAATGAAACCCGGGAAATTCAAATCCCGGGCTTCATTTGCAAGTGCGGTATGCCTACATTACCCTCCTAGTTCAAACTAGGAGGGTAGTGTAGACATACCCTTCCATGGCTTTGCCAGGGAGGGCAGTTTGTTGCAACTGGTACCTGTGCAGTTCAAGGTGTGGTTGTCGCCAGGTTTCCAGGAGTTCCCCCCGGGGGAAGAATGGCCTGCTTTGCACCGGCAGCTGTGACTCCCTGGGGTGTTGACGCAGAAGCTGCGAAGGCCACAGATCGATGGGTTTTGAGAACATTCATCTATATCTAAACAGAAGAACAAGGAATTAATTATTCATCACAGTGGCACAAACCGAGAGCAGATGCCCATTGTGCCAGACATGGGGGTGACTGTGGAAAAGGACTCACCAGGCCCCTGGGCAAGATGGAGACTGTTGGCTCTGTGCTCCTGGAAGAGGTAGGGCCTCAAGTGGAAGGGTGAGGCCCAAGGCAGCCAGGCCCCAGGACAGCTGTCCTCCTCTACCTCCAGTGTCAGTGGTACAGGCATAGATGGCATGTCTGTCTACAGTGCATGCTAAGCCCGGGATCTGAATCAGATTTAGCCCAAGCCTTCATGTACAATCATCCCCAAATCAACGTGACTCGTGTCAGCAAGCACCCAGGACTTGTGTCCTAGCAGAGCGTTCAGGCCTGGCCCTGCCATTTTGCAGTGTGGCTGCAGCTTCAGCTGCAGCCTGAAGTCAGAAGGGCCACATGGCCTGGATGTGTTAGAGCAGCTGTAAGTCCTGAGTCCAGCAGTGGAAAGCTCAGGTTAACAATGCAGCGCCACTGCACAAGCAGGGCCTGGAATCCCAGGGTACGTCTAGACTACAGGCTTCTGTCGACAGAAGTTTTGTCGACAGATACTGTTGACAAAACTTCTGTTGACAAAGAGCGTCTAGGCTACACTGAGGTCTGTCGACAAAGCAAGCTGAGGCTTCTGGATAGGGGAGGAGGCGACACTGGAGGTTGGGAGGCTCCATGGACAAGGCGGATGTGGGTGTCAGAGGGCAGAGGGCCGGAGGAAGGGAGCTGTGTGGCAGCTGATCCTGAAGCTATTCTGGCTGGTTGGGTAAGGATCCTTGGTACCATTCCTGTGAAATTTCTCTGGCTGCAGCATCATACCCTCGAGTGGACAGCAGAGTGCTCAGACCCTCGCTTTCCACTGGAGAACCAGCGTTAGCGCCTCACACCCTGGCCCCCTGACCCAGCGCGCATACCTACCTACACATTGCAGTGGGACGTCAGGCTTGCTGCAGAGGAAGTAGCCTGGCCGGCACATGCAGGTGTAATCGCCCAGCATGTTGTTGCAGGTGGAGTTCTTGCCACAGGGCGATGAGTCCTGGGGGCAATTCCCAATATCTGGCAGGAAGAAGCCAGGTTGGACATGCAGTTAGAGCTACCAACTTTCTAATGGCAGAAAATCCAGCACCCTTGCCATGCCCTTACCACGACCTTTCCCCAAGCCCTTACCCTTCCTCACTCCATTCACTCTTCCCCCACCCTTGCTCACTTTTACCAGGTTGAGAAAGGGGGTGATGTGTGGGAGGGATGCAGGCTCTGGGCAGAGGCTGCATGTTTAGGGGTGAGGCCAGAAATGAGGAGCTTAAGGGTGCAGGAAGGGGCTCTGCTCTGGGGCAGGGAGTTGGGGGGCAGGAGAGAGATTGAGGTGTGAGTTCCAAGCAGCATTTACTGCTTGTGGATCCAGGGACGGCAGGAAGCAGCAACACATCCCTTGATTTGGTGGAGGGGCCCAGGGGGCTCCGTGTGCTCCTCCACACCTCCCGTTAGCCATGGTTTCTAGCAAACGGGAGCTGTGGAACCAGCACTTGGTGCAGGGCTACATGTGGAGCCCTCCTAAATCCCCTCTGCCTACTGGATATGGCTGCTTCCTCCTGGGAGCCATGTGGAGCTGGCTGTGCCAACAACTGCTCTGTTAATGGCCTGGTCAGTGGTGTTGGCCACAGCCGCCAGGGCCCCTTTTCAACCAGGCATTCTGGTCAGAATGCGACTCCTGACACGGCTAGTTCAACTCTGCGCTGCTGCTTCCCAGTTTCATTGGTCGCCCCCGGCTTCACTGAAGGCCAAATTCAGTCTTCCTTGATCTTAGTCACATTTCCAGTTAGTGTCAGTGGCACCAGGACTGGTGTGGCTTGGAAGCCCCATCCTCACACTGTTGGAATGAGTGAGCCTGGCACACTCATTTACAGTCAGGGCTGCCCTCATCCCTTCCCCCACCCTCCCTGATACCCTACCCTCCAGGCAGCCCAGCTGGGAGCCCAGCCCATTGTAGGAGCCATGCAGACCCCACACACCAGTGCAGGGGTCCCAAGAAGAGCTCCTGGCCTGTGTCCCTGCCCCCAAGATTTCCACCTGGTCCAGGGCAAGGTGTGTGTGTGGGGGGGGGGGGCTTTGAGCCCCACCCCAGCCATGGTAAGAGCCACGCAGGCAGCTGAGAGGGTCCATGGAACCTCCATCCACACTGGCCAAAGGGAAAGTGGTGGGGACTGGGCAGAGTCTGCTCAGGTACATGGACTGTGGGCATGCGGAAGGTCTGTGGGTCAGAGTCAGAACTGGGTCATGGACAGAGTCATGCAGGCAGCTGTAGGGAGCCACTGGATCCCTCCACCTGTCTTGTGCAGAGGGATGGGGATGCAGCCACATGGCAGGCGGCTGCGTTCAGCCCAATCCCAAGCAGGGGGTGTGTTCCTAGTGCCCTTTTGGCTTGGCTGGGGCGGAGTCTCTGGGGGAAAAGGGGCAGGGTGAGTCTGGAGGGCAGCACACACTTTTGGGAAGGCCCCATTTTAAGTGCTTAGGGCACCCTCTTTCTTGCAAACTCAATGGCATTGAGCAAGAGAGAGAACTGTCTCCCCTTTCCGGCTCCCCCTGACTTAGAATCAGAATCTCACAGTCACATTTGCACTGCACTGTTGGATCAGGGAAGTGTGGATCTTTGAAAGTAGCTATAAACCCAGATCAGCAGGCACAATAGGACCCCTGAATAGTGTAGGTGCCCACTGTCTGTTCAGGGCATGCAAACGGATCCCCACACCCGCTTGCTGTGAGAACGAAGATGGAACCGGAGCGAGCACTGGCCATTTAGTGACAACTCAGCCCTATCCAGCTACCAGTGGAGCATGAGGCTCTGCCGAGTGGAGAAAAGGAGGCACGGACAGAGAGGAAAAGAGATGGGAAGTGCTTTGTCCATTCAAAGCCCCCTCCAGCTGCAGGACACGCAGGGGTTTGGATCTGGAGATTTGATCTAGGTTTCCAGACATCAACTTACCAGTGCTGGAGAAATGTTGAGTCCCCGCGAAGCAGACGAGCCAGCAAACACCTGAAAGAGGGCAAATAACCAAGGATGTTCCTACGATACTGGGCTTTATTCCCATTAAACTGTCAGAGGCTGTACAGCCTATTATCACTCTAGAGCACTGGGGCTGCGAGTTGGACAAGTCCTTACCCTCTTGGTCCCTCTCCTATTTTGACTGTAAGTTCAAGGTGAACTTTGGGACCACAGGAAGGACCCTGTTATTGGTGAAGATCCCTAAGTACCTCCGGAACATCATCTATAGATCATAACAGCAATTATGGGTTTTCAGTGGGCCGAACCCTCTTGTGGGGAGGGCAAGGACCTGTAGAACACCAGGGTTGGAAGGATTCTACACTGAATCTGTAGATGTCAGTAAACATCAGTTTCTCCCTATGTGCACAAACCATGAAAAAAGAATAAGGCATTTGGGATGGGCTCTGGGCTAGGGCAGGGAGTTATGGTGCAGGAGAGAGTGAATTTGACCAAGGGCAAAGGAAAGGAAAATGTTGCTTGAGCACTTACAACACTTTGATTTAAGGATATCTACTTTTCATATTTTGACATGACGTTGCCAATTGGCATTCACAGCTTCAGAGCTTTGGATTTTTCAATTTCAACGTCTACAGCCATTAAATAAATATTGTCTGACAGCCCCATTGCCTGACCCCTCCAGCTTCCCACATTGAAAAAAACCCTTAGAATCAATAAAATTAAAAAAAATACTTGAAAACAAGTAACCACTGAATTTTTTTAAGTGTTCTGCTATGCCTACAAACCAGTGAAACTACTGAGCTGCAGCAACTCATGGACTCGCCTCAGTCCTCAAAACCCAAAGGGTACGTCTACACAGCAGAGCTATTTTGAGATAATGTCCTTCTCAAATGGACAACCAAAATGATGAGGGGGCTGGAGCATATGACTTATGAAGAGAGGCTGAGGGATTTGGGTCTGTTTAGTCTGCAGAAGTGAAGAGTGAGGGGGGATTTGATAGCAGCCTTCAACTTCCTGAAGAGAGGTTCCAAAGAGGATGGAGAGAGGCTTTTCTCAGTAGTGACAGATGGCAGAACAAGGACCAATGGTCTCAAGTTATGGTGGGAGAGGTCCAGGTTGGATAGTAGGAAAAACTATTTCACTAGATGGGTAGTGAAGCACTGGAACGGCTTACCTAGGGAAGTAGTGGAGTCTCCATCCCTAGAGGTGTTTAAGTCTTGGCTTGACAAAGCCCTGGCTGGGTTGATTTAGTTGGGATTGGTCCTGCCTAGAGCAGGGGGCTGGACTTGATGACCTTCTGAGGTCTCTTCCAGCTCTATGGTTCTATGATTCTATGAAGGCTGCAGGGCCTTACCACATAAAATCATCTTCAGGCACATTTCCCTATCCCTGCGCACTCTGGCCATCTGTTTTGAGCAGTGCCCACACTTCTGGGGAATTTACACTTCCCCCAGGCAATGAATACAGGCCGCATGGGCGCCCAGCAAAGGGAACACTTTTTAATACCTGGTGAACCAGGCATCGCAGGGTCCGGCTGAGAGACTGCCGTGAACCTGCAGTAAGGTCTGAGGTAATGGTAACTGGAGAATGAATTTTTTTAAACTAATTAACAAACTATTATTATAAGAACAAGAACTATTGAACTATAACTAAAATATGATGGACTTTTCACAGGAAACTCAGATTCACAAAGAAGAGGGAAGCTCTGCCAGCAACTGAGGATGGTTAAGAGGAACTGGCAGGAGCCAGACTGTGCGCGACAATCAAAGGGTGTGAATGGTGCAAGACACTGACCTCACATGCGCGGTCCGGCTGACCAGGGCTATTGAAAACCTCTGACCAGTGACGCCGGGACGAGCCCGACACCTAAAGTGGAGCACCCACGGGGACCACTCAAAGAAGAACAAACCTTTTGGGATCAAAGATATTTGGGGCTTTGCATTTGGGACCCAGCAATTTGCAGCCTGTTACATGAGGCTTTTTCTATTATGGCTCCAATATAGCTGCACCTGAGAGGGAGGTTTCTAAGCTTCCAAGGAGGGATGTTCTGAAACAGTTTTCCCCACTAGGACTAGTGGTGGCAAACACAGCTAGTCTGAAGAAGGGATGAACAGGATTATATGACAGGATTGAGGGCAACATCAGGGAACTGACCCAGATGATCCCTACCAGTCCCATGTCCCAAAGATGTTTTGCTAACTAAATCCTCCATTTTGTGATGTGGCTGCTCCAGGTTGCATCAGGAGCAAGGACAGTGGCTCTTGGCCTTTTCAGACTATTGTGCCTCTTTCAGGAGTCTTGTGTGCCCCCTTTACCTCACTGAAGAGTTAGCAGCTTATGAAATCAGACATAAAAATACAAGCAGCACAGCACACGAGTACTGAAAAATTGCTCCTTTCTCAATTTTACCATACCATCATAAAACCCATTGAACTATAAACATTGGACTTACAATTCAGTGGCTAGTCCCTAGCACCATGTAAACAAATCATTGTATGAAATTTTAGTTTGTTCTGACTTTGCTAGTACTTTTTAGATCACCTGTTGTAAAACTAGGCCATTATCTAGGTGAGCTGATGTACCCCCTGGAAGACCTCTGTGTACTTCCAGAGGCACACAACCCCAGGTTGAGAAACACAGCTAGGATAAGACTGTGGAGACAAGGGGGAATCTGAGCCCAGTTACAGTGATACCATGGGCCTAAACCCCAGATTTAGGTACTTCTGTGATCCACAGAGCTCCTGCTCAACTGCTCCTTAGCCCTATAGGTCAATGAGGGGCAACCTAGGCTAGTGAGTGGGCCCTGTTCTAGATGGGCCACACAAAGACCCCGATGGGCCACAGGTTGCCCACCACTGATTTAGGTGCCTGAACTCACACAGTAAAACTTTCTTAGGCACATGAGTGGCCCTCCTCCATCTCAGTGGGCCACAATATTATCATAATCAATGGCACTGTTGTGTATTGGGTTGTTGTAGATGTAGATCTTGTTGATATAGTAACAGAGGCTACGTCTAGACTACAAGTCTCTTTCAAAAGAGGCTTTCAAAAGAATCTTTCGAAAAAGCCTCTTTTGAAAGAGCCTCTAGATTACAAGCAGAATTTTCGAAAAAGGCGTTATAAAGGTATGCCTCATAAAATGAGGTTTACCGCGATCAAAAAAAAAATGCAGCATTTTTGTTGGTCTCAGACACCGTGTATAAGAAAAAGCTAAAGCATCTTCCGCTGAAGGTAACAAAGATCATTCTGAAGACATACATAAAAGCTACACCCCTATTGGGCACTACTGATATTAAGGTGGAACTCAATGGACAGACTGCTGAATTGCCACTATTTGTGGTTGCCACATAAAAAGTCATATGGGGGGCCTGCAGCTCAGCAGGCTAGGATGGAAGTTTCCATCCTAGCTGTACACAGCCTGATAACCTTCTACCCTATAAGCACAAACAGCAGCTGGGCTTTATCAGCTTTAACGCATGCACGTAAGCTGGGAAACTACTAAGTGGTAAACAAGTTTGACCTCGGTTCTCAGCCTTTTCCGCAAATGCTTTTAAGAGAAAAACTTTTCCGTTAAAAGCATTTGCAGAAAATCATTCCAGTCTAGACGTAGCCCTGTAGTATAACAAGTATAGGGAGTCCCATGCCCAGTGAGTCTCACCAGGGACCTAGATCTTGGAGGGTGACCTGGATTCCCCCAACTGGAGCCACATCCACTGCGTGCAAGGTAAGAGGAATGAGACTCCCCACAGACTGAAGGGGCATAAGCATTTCTAAGTGCCTGTTACTCTCTTATACATTGCTCTGCCTGTGCTTATTGATGTGTCACTTTGCAGTAGCTGTGTAACCATAGGGCAGCATTAACACTGTAATAGTAGTGACGTAGTGAGATGAATAAAAGCAACTATCCCTAATCGACTCTGTGTGAAGTGAATCCATAATCCTGTTTGGCCATGCCCCTGTGAGTTGTCAGTGGTAAAAGGCCGTTACCCAGCTTTAATGGGTAGATTGTGGCTTAGGAAGATCCAGCTAAACTGGAAAGAAATGCACTAGATGACTAAAGAAACAGGTCTGACCAATCTATTAAGGAAACACATTGCTGTTTTTGGAGAGGATCTGGGAAGTATGAGGGGAATCACTGTGAAACTGAACATTAAACCTGGCAGCCAACCAAAATATCTGAAGGCCAGAACTGTGCCATATGCCACTGGGCCAACGGTTGAAGTGGACCTGGAGCACCTAGTTAAAAATGGAGTCCTAATACCAGTTACCCAACTCCAATTGTTACAATATTGAAGAAAGACAGTTCTATTCAGATTTGAGGAGATTTTAACCCAGTGTTGTGTGAAGAGCAATATCCTTTTCCTCACATTGATGACCTCTTTGTGGGCCTGGCTGGAATATAAATGAAAAATTTACATGCTTTATTTCAATAATTGTATTTTTAAAAACCATGACGAACAATTAAGGCTGGAGTGAGGGTTTGGGGGATAAGGAGGGGCTTAGACAGAGGGTTGGTAGGTGCGGAGGGGAGGGGGGCTTAAGGCAGTGGATGGCGGCCACAGGGCAGGGGGAAGGAGGTTGCGGTCTCAGGGCAGGGGGCTCAGGACAGGAGGCTGAGAGATGGGGCTGACTGGGGCTGCCCATGGAGACGAGGGTGGTGCTGCTCCTCCCAAGGGGCCGTGGCAGTACTCCCTGGCCAGTAGCTCCTCCCGAGTGGCCAGGGCTCTGCTCCCCAGATGGCAGCTCCTCCCAGGAGGGGAGAGGGGAGGAATTTAGGTGTGGACATCTGTCAGGTGGGTGTTGGAGTTCTGTGGGCCAGCCTCAGCCTGTAGCCGGTCAGAGTGGTTGGGGGGGAGGGGAAAGAACAGCCTCTTGTCTCTTGCTGTCCCTGAAGCCTGTCTTGGGGGGAGGGGACAGCCCCTCCTGGCTTCCAGATGCCCCTGGCCTGCAGCCTATCAGGGGGAACTTTCCCCAACCTGCTGTTCCCCCAGGGAGGGTCTTGCTTGGGGCAGTAACACCCCCATTCTGCAGCC